CAGACCTTAACCTAATTGAGCATGCATTTCACCTCCTAAGGAGAAGACTGTAGGGAACTCCCTGCAAAACAAACAACAACTGAAAGAAGCTGTGGTGAAAGCTTGGAAAAGCATCCCAAAATAAGAATGCAACAGCTTGATGATGCCAGTGAATTGCCAGTTTAATGCAGTTATTGCAAACAAGAGATATACAACAAACACTAAGTGTTATTTACTTTAATTTACTTTAAGACTATTTATTACTATGCTTTTGCTTAGTTTGGGTGGTCTGCCACCGAAGGTGCCATGCTCTAAGTTGTTTAACACTTTTGGACTAAAATATTAGGAAATAAAGTCGAAATTCTGATCTATCAACCTCATATTCATCTTGTGATCTCAAACCCAGTATGTCTTGGCCTTGTCATTCCAATACCTTCAGAGGAGACTGTATCTTACATTAGGAGAATAGTTGCCAAGTCTGGTTCCCTGGACGTCTGGAGGGCAGTACCCTCTGCCCTGCACATTTTAGTGTTTTTCCTGCTTGCAATACACTGGATCTAACTAAGCAATTAATTAGCAAGCCCTTCTGGAGCTGACGTGGGTGTTTTAGAGCAGGAAAACACAAAAATATGTAGAGCAGGAGGCAATCCAGGACCAGGAGATCTAGCTAGTGGGTTGAGCACAGTTGTATGCAAAAGTTTGAGCACCCCTGGTCCAATGACATATTTTGTTGATTTTCTAGGTGAAAATAAGTTAACACATCCTCTACAGCACTATTGCATATTTCAATGCACAATTACTGTTTATTTGCTGACTTAAATATATTGAAAAAAAAAAGAAAACATAAAAGGGGCCTGTGCAAAAGTTATGGCACATATTATATTTTATGTGTAATTTTTTAATGTTTTATTTTATATGTTAAACTATATAGTAACTGTGGACCAAAGTTAACTGTTAAGTGCATTAAAGAAAAATGCCATATTTGTCTGTGTTCTCTGTAGCGGATGTGTTGACTTATTTTCACTTAGAAAATCGAACTAATTTGACTGGGGGTGTTCATACTTTTGCATGTCGACTGTACCTTTAACCTAAAGTCTCAGTTTCCATGTGTCAAATTCGATTGGATTTCACGCTACATAAACAGAATTCATTCACAGCAAAGTGAAGCTATCTGTATGTGTGTGCTCAGTTTCATGTTGACATGCTCAGACATGCTGGTAGTCCTAGATGCCACACACACACACACACACACACACACACACACACACACACACAGTCTGTCTCGCATGTCAGTTTAGACGACTTCAAACCCACTACCTGTTTATGGTCTCTGAATTCTTACATCTCATTTTAACAGCTGTCTGAATAAGATCAGATGACAGAAACATTCAGAGAATGTCTGCATGACTGAACCGCGAAAGTAGGTAATAAAAAATAAATACTCTGTAGTATCACATAACTGCACTCATAATAATTTGAGAATGTGACATGAACCAGTCAGAAAATGCCACAGAGTAATTATGTAAGTATGAACATTGTGCGACATATCTCATGAAGCTGGTGCTGCTGATAGCACTGGTGTATAATAGCAGTTGCGAGTTTGCATATTTATTTATTTATGTTGCATGACAAGATATCAGGGAATAGTTATACTTATAAAATCCTTTCAAAAAAAAAAAAAACATTTAACCCATTCCAGCCGACAATTAACCTTAACCAAAATGATGGAAAGGCCAAAGTGTGGAGAAAGTCAAGCATGGTGGAGGTAGTGTCATGGCAGTGATGCCTAGATCAGTGGTTATTCAACTCGTGAGGAGCCACTGCCTCCAACTCTTTCAACTACTCCCTCTCCCAAAACACCTGAGCCAGCTAATGAATAACATTGATAATTAGCTGATTAGTTGGATCAGGTGTGCAGGACATACTGAACACTGTGCAGGCATTACTGCTACTGAGCGCTGATTGGTTGGTGAGCTCACTGGCTCATTGGCTGAATGAAGCAGTGTGCCCTCACTGAAGTCATTAATGTTTTTGATGCACAGTTATAAAGTCCTATAAATGGAGTTTAAAAGCACCAAATTCAGTTCAAATTACAGCAGAGAGCAGAGCTGTTTTATGGATTGCTGAAAATATTAAACATCAGTTCATGAGTGTATATACTAACTTTTATTAAATAACATATATAACATCATATATACAAACGTTCATGATACAAGTACAATGAAGCAACGGTGAAGCATAATCTGTCTTTGCTTTTTTAAAAGCTTTTTTTGCTTAGCTCCTAAACATACATGACTATACAACCAGCCAGTGGATATAAACACTGTGATTTTAACTAGTTGATGTATAATGATGGCTCAGTGTAACTGGAATTCTCATTGTCCAAAGCTCTTGCCCTTATCTGAGTAGTTTCTATGTTCTTTCGCGTGAATTGAAGCATCACACATTAATCCTGTTTCTCAAAGACAGGATCCACTTCAACACAGAGGCACGAAGAAGCTGCAGATACATGAGGTGTGATGTAAATTTACAGGAACATTACAGAGACGCAACAACACGAAAGTGAAAATAAAAATGGTGAAGAAACAAACATCAGCAGCTCTACAGGTCACCATGCAAAAATACTACACATTTCATGTCGTTCACAATTTAGACAGTAGAGGGCACATTTGGTCACAGTCACACACACACAAGAAATATAAACATGATTATCAGAGGATCAAAAGGGGAAAAGCTTAACAAACCTGCTGCAAATTCACAACTATCTGAATCCTAGTTTGAAATTTGAGTGACACAGCCTTGCACATATGGAACTACGAACAGATGCTCTGTTACTCTGATACTCTAAACTGCCTTTCAAAAAGAGATTTACAGCCAAGCGTGTTTTCTTAGCCAGACATTTTTGTGTTCTATTTGTGAGGTTTGAATTTTTCATGTTCACATCTGATTTAAAAGGAATATTACTAACTATTCACAACTATTCTACTCATTAATTCACAAATAATTGTTAAGGGGTACAATCTAACAATCTATTAGACACGTATCCATTCAGAATTGCTAACCGTTTCTTTTGTTGCCCAGGTTTCAATGGAAAAAAGTAAGCGAGCAAGCAAACAAACAAACAAACAAACAAACAAAGAAACCTCCATATAGATGTGTCATCCTTCTACTTGATTTCCTCCTTTAATGTTTTGGCCTAGAGTACCAATCATATGAAGCTAGAGAAACAAACATTCATAAAGATTTAAACACAAAACACCAACCTTTAAAAATATATATTTAGATCAATATACTCTGAGCTTTATACAGTGTTGTTTACAGTGTGCAGTAAGGTAGGCGGGTGATGTTAACAGCAAGGTAAGAACAAGCTTAGTGATGCTAGCACTGATGTAAGCAGCTCTTCGAGGCCTATCGATTCCGTTTTGCGCCTTTTTGGAGTTAGACAAGCACTGGAAACGACGCCACCGACTGTTAATTCGCAGCGCGTTCCAAACTCCATGTCTGATTTTAATTTTGACGTGTCCAACAGCTTGCAGACTGAGGAACACTACATCTAAGAAGTCCCAAAAGCCTTTAAATAGAAAGATGCAGCACTTGCACATTACCTTGCTAAGACCATATCTCTGTTTTCCCCACTTCATTTCATGATAGAAAACATTGCCACAACACATTAAGACAGGAAAAAGCAGCAGTTCCTAAATTCCTCTTGGTGAATAAATTAGCTGTAAATACTTTTACATGAGTGCACAAAAATAGCAATATCTAGGAAATGGTGACAAATATAAATCTACTAGACATGTATATACTCAACCGTAATTTAATATCACATACAATAAATAAATAAATATGTTGTTAAAAAATAAAATCTCAGAAAGTGCAGAGATAAAGTCACTGAACAACCAATCAATTATCTGTAGATTAGATTTTACTCATTTCTGAACCATACAAATGTAGGAGCTCTGATTTTGCTTTAAAGTGTTTACATGTGATCAACTGACAGAGAACAATAACAGTTAGCAAAATGTGTCAGAAGCTCCACTTGGACCCTATGTGCACCTCACCATAACTCCACAATACTCCTCTTTACATTCAAGATATTATTTGATTATGGGAATTTTAAAAAGAACTATTCATTGCACTCACTGAATAGCTGAGCAAATATTTTTGGCAGTAAACTAGCTATTCTATCACTGGACTATTTTCCAATGGCTTAGCGGCCCCTAAACAGATGTGTGTGTATATATATATATATATATATATATATATATATATATATATACACATGTATATTTCACAAATTATCCTACTTAAGTCGTTTCAATGCTTTTGTGCTTTTCTTTCAGTCTGACGACAGTCTCCTTTTGTGGCCTAAGTCCTAAATGCGACATCACGTTTTAGTAACAGCAAAGCCAATGTTAATGCAGCTTTATTCTGATATTAACTGTTTATAGTGGCATAACTAAATATTCCTTTTCATCTTTTCATTCCCTTGACCATTAACCACTCAAATGTGGTGAATATCTTGTAATAATTAACAGTAGACTGTATTGCGTAATAACATACAAAAATTCAGTGCAATGTCTTGAGGTTCCTTCATCTAAAATAACTACTAATTATCATGAATGTCTGGACAACTAAAATCATCTATAATTCTCTTGCTTAAGATTAGTTCTTATTTAAACTTTGGCTTTTGTTAGTAATGATGAAAGCTAAATGTAAAAATCTAAATTCCCTTTTAAACCCTACTTAAAAGTATCTGTTGATATATGACAACAAAATATAGGTAGATATCTACTGAAATGTAAAGACAATAATATAATACCATAAAAATAAATAATTCATGAGGATATTGCACCAAACCATCAGCTACACACAACATCAACACATCTTTCCTTCAAAAACCAATAGAATAGTCATGACTTTCTGCAGACATTTCTTTCTTTTGATAATTTCTAGTGAAACTCCACTTTTCTAATAAATACTTGTTTTTTAAAAAAAACAAAAAACAAAACAAAACAAGTCTAAACACTTTCCTGGACAGTGGAATTAGATTTCTCCTCTGTAGTGGATTTAACTAGTGGCTCTGTAGCAGACTCAGGTTTCTCCTCACCCTTGGCGGCCTCTGAAGCAGCCTTCACAGAAGAGCTGGGCTTCTCCTCTGCTCCAGAATTGGCTGCCACCAAGGGAACTTTCTCTTTTACTGGAGAAGTGGACGCCATGACTCCGCTGGCCTCCTCTACAGCAGTAGTTGAAGGAGGTGGAGCACCGCGGAATTCTCGAGCGATGTCTTCAAAGGTTCGCCCCTTTGTCTCAGGAACACGGAAGAATGTGAAGACGAAGAAGAGGATGAGGAAGATCATGAAGATGATGAAAACGTATGGCCCACAAATTTCCTGTCAAATGGAATAAAAAGATTAGGAAGACAGCACAATTCAGTGCATTTTACTAGTCATACTAAAAACAAAAAAATGCATGAAAATGCAATCGAAACAGCATATTGATTATAGGGCTGAATTTCTGCAATAAACACACCAAAGTGATGCGGTCAGATTGGTGGGAATGTAGAGTTACAAGTCCAAAAAGTGCATTTCTACACTGTGCTAAGCTTGAACATTAATCATCCATGTGGAGAACAAGCAACTTACCTGTTCATCCATGGTTAAGTTACTTGCTCTCTATCCTAAACTACTAGGCTGTAAAACTGCTTAAAATGTGATGACTATTCTCACTCTCAGTTTTGTATGTAAAATGCATAGACTGCAGGGTAAAATGTATGAAGCAACACTGGCTACTGTCACAACAAATCTGCATCATCATAAGGAGCTTTTTAATTCATTTAAATATACATATTTTTGTATTTGAAGGCCTATACCTAAAATAAAAAATGCACATTTTTATTTGTTTTTGTAGACTAACTGCAAATATGAATAGAAAAAGCTGTTTAGGGAATCCTGACCGTTTTTACACTGAATCACCTCATGGCACTCTAAATTCTTCCCTAACCGGTGCCATCAGCAGTCAAATAGCTTTTGATAGTGAAACTATTGTAATTAAGACGAGTCCAATTAGTGGTGAGTCCGAGTCAAGACTGAAAATATATTTTTTTAAAACATATTTTGGACAATATAACATCAAATAACATTTAAATTAAATGTTAAAAAAGTATATGGTATACTTAAAAGTATACTTAAAATACTGTATTATTGAGTGCTATTATATTAGCCTTAGTCCAATTTTGCATTTTAATTTTGGAAGCCAGTGAGGTTAATCTATGTCACTTGTTTTCTATTACTTATTCAGAATCACCACCTAAAGCCAACTGAATGTAAACCAAACAACACGCATCTATTTTTATTACTGAATGAAAACATGATAATAAGAACTAGACAAGTAATACCCAGTTAAGTCATCATGGAAAGATGGATGGATCCTCAACCAGCAATTAAAAGATGTAGAGAAAGGACTGTTTTATTCTGCATTTCATTTTTATTTTGCTGTTTGCTTAAAGGAGAAGTTAGATTTCTGTCTGCACAAAAAAAAAAACGTACTTGTGGCTCCTCCACTCAGAGGCACGCTATTTTAATATCGTCATTGCTTCTCATATCATCATCTTGGTATCCAACAACTTTATCAAACATCGAATTTCATGTCTATATCGTGTAGGGCTAATTGCTGGGTATCTGTATCGGACCGATTATCAGCAGAACATGCTAGACATGACATCGGAGTGGAAAAAGGAATGAATCCGATCCAATCCTGTAACAAATCTAGCCTAACATGCCACATATTCTCATGTTGTTGTCTAGTTTAAGTAGTTTAAACATGATAGCCTATTTTAGATGCTCATCCTAAGTGAAGTGCTTAATTAAAAACTGCTCACTTTAAAGCTTATTTTAAAACAGTCTTTAAAGAAAAATTATCAGATCATATCAGCATTGGCTGAAGGTTTCGACATCGATATCTGTATCAGAAAAGAAAACGTGGTACTGTGCCATCTCTACTAAACAGTCAACTCAGAAGGCATTTAAATATTGTAAAAAGACACTATCATGTACAAATAACATCTAAAGAGTAGTGTGTTTAATCAGTGCACATTAACTATGCAAGACAGACTGTATACCTCCAATTTGGGGAAGCTGATGCCCACGAGGAAGTTGGCTGTCCAGTTAGAGAATCCAGCAATGGCCATGGCAGCAGGACGGGGCCCCTGGGAGAAGAGCTCGGCCACAATGAACCAGGGAATGGGTCCTGGGCCCATCTCAAACATAGCCACAAAGGCAAACACTGCTGCAATGCTCAGGTAGCTCAGAGACTCGATGTGCTTCTGCTCAGGAAAAGAATTTTTTTTTTTTACATTTTTCAAAAATGCTAATATTTATAACTTTATTGTTGAGATAACTACAAGAGAGTAGAATTCCAAAGTCAACCTACCAATAGGAGGGCGATGGTCATAAGCAGGGCGCTGACAGCCATACCACCTAAGCCAATAAGGTGCAATGACCTTCGTCCAGCCCTCTCAACAAGGAACAGCTTCAAGCAAAATCACATATTAATGTTTACATGTTCTGAACAATCTTGCCATTGACGCCATTGATTTTTCAAAGATTTCTGCATAATTAGATGGTTAAGATGTAAACAAAGTGGTCTGATGTGAAAAGCTCTGTTCTAGAGAAACTTACTGAGCCAGTTCACAGTGGTGGTGATAGGAACCTCTAAAAGCCACCTCACAGAGCAGAAAGTTATCACATGAAATAGTTATGAACACACTGTCTGGCACTTTTGAGAGCAAGTTTTGGCCTAAAATGTATTTATATAATATATTCATATGCAAGACGTAAAATAGGCCCCAAAGAAAACATATTTTTTCAGATTTAATACTATTTTATCCTTGTCAGCATTACATAAAAGAAGATACACATAGGTTCACTGGTTGTCTTGGATAGTAAATAAAATGACTTTGTTTACATCTCATCCACTAAATTATGCAGAACTGGTGAAATATCAGTGGAATTCCTCTTTAAGTCAAGGGCTTGGACACTTACCGAAACCACAGTGAAAACAACGTTGACAGCTCCAGCTCCAATGGTAGCGTATATGGGTTGGGTCACACCAGCAGACTCAAAAATACCAGTTGAGTAGTAGAACACCTGAGAGAAACAAAGAAGAAGAGAAAGCAAGATAAGAAACGGTCATGCAAATTAAGAGGTCATAGTTTTGGACTGTGGGATGGGCTTTGGTAGGTTACTTACAGCATTGATGCCAGACAGCTGCTGGGACAGCTGCAGAACAACCGCAATGAGAAGAGGCTGGCGGTATGTGGCGGTACGGAAGAGCTCAGGGATGGTAACCTTCTTCTCCATGTTCATCTTCACGCTCTCCTCCTTCATTTCCTGCATATCCTTCGACACGTCCTCAAAGCCTCGAAGACGCACAAGTGCTGAGACACAAAACCGTGGTCGTTAGGAGACAGGTCTGGGTTATCAAATAAATGAGTAGCTCAGACAGATAATGGCGCCAGTGGGATGAGAACACGGGCAGCAAATTGTGACATGAAGAGAGGTGAATCATAAAATTAATTTCAGAGAGAGACAAAGCATTAAACAGCAACATGTTGGGCACAAATTCAAAATGCAACAAGTAAAAATGTAGATATTACTAGGGCTCGGAGCACTTATGGATTTACCAGTAATTACTTTTTTAAAATGCATTGGTTTATCAATCTTATTTTTGTTGAAATGGTAGAATGCGCTATTTTTTCTTTCCACTTTGTAAGTTGTTCTGTGATCTGACCTGTACTATTTATTTATTTATTTATTTCACACATCAGTGAGTTGTCCTGAGAGCCACAATGTGACAACCACACTGGTACATGGGAAAAACATATCATATTCATAGTTACTAATTAGTCGTTGTGAGGTTTTTCACACCATTGATTTGTACAGGGGGAAGAGCTGATGATATTTTTAATGCACTGAAACTTTTGCTCTGATGATTTTTTATAGGACTTTAATGCAAGGTTTTTTTCTTTTCGCCAGTGCGACTCAAAGACGCAGTTTCTGAGTAACAGCCCATTCTGCTAAATAATTCAGCATTGACCATGAGTGTGAGTTAGTGACTCTGCTTCAGTTTGAAGCTACGAGCATTAAAAGGAGCAAACAAACCATGAGTATTCATGAGCTTCGATGTGAAAGATGCTATTAGTTGGTTGGTTAAGTTTTCAATTTTTGTTTTGATATTTTTTTTCCCATACAACACAGACTGTGAAAATACCATAATGATTAATCACCTCTCTGTTGCAAAAATGGAAGCAGTCCTAGATGTACTGACTATGTTCATGTAAAAAACATACTGTTTCAAAAATGAAAATATTTATATTTATCAATAATACTAGCCCAATTTATCAATTTTCCAAAACATCTAATTGTCCCAGCCATAGATATTACTCAAAATGTACACAAAGAATAAATCAGTGATAATAAGGTAGAAAAATATATATGGGGCCTGTCTCATGAAGCAGGATTTCAAGATTAGCCAGCTAATTTAAGCTTAATTTGATCTAACCTCTCCAGGGCAAGTTGCATTCAAGATTTTGTATCATAAATAGTTCTTAGACCAATCTGGGCCACACTGCTGACCAATCAGGGATGATGAAAGTGGACCCCTCCAGGACTTTTCTCTTTGTGACCACTGTGCCATTTATCACATGACGGTAATCACTTGACTGGCTGTTCATCATAAACGCACGCTTTCAGGTGCATGTGTATGAGGATAAATCACAGCTTGAGTATCTAAACCCTGGTTAACAGAGAAAATTATTCATTTTTTTCCCTGTTCCATTTGTAAGGTTTTGTGAGAGAACTTAGTCAGGAAAGCTATCTCTGTCAAATCTGCTTTGTGAGACTGGCCCCAGGAGTATCTGTTGTGATATAAAGTGTGCACTTTTCTTTAATTTTAAATGTAAAGGAAAGCATCACATTGTCCTCATAAACTGAGTATAAGAAAGGTGTCATAAGCTGCTGTTAGTCTTTAGGCTCAAGAACCTTTAGCTTTAGTTTCTCTGTGGAGCAGTCATATGCAGTGCAGAGAGACTTTTTATTTTGGTCCTGTCATTAAATATGAATTCCTTGTTTGTAAAGTCTATATTTTTTTCTGGTGCTGGTCATCATTTCTGTTCTGACATGCAGCTTTGAAACCTGCTCGATTAAAATGTACTTGAGCTACACATGTACGCTTAATTTGTGTTCAGACTTTCCTGACGTTACGTTAATGAATGAAAAATGATAAAAATAAAACTAAGTAAAATAGCACTACAGAAATAAAATAATGCGACAAGCAAGCTTTTATTAAATGCTAAGAACTCACCTTTGCGAGCCTCCTCCTCCTGATTGAGGTTAATAAGAAGGTAGCGGGGGCTCTCGGGGCAGAAAGGCAGTAGCAGACACTGTATAACTGCAGGTACCACAGTCAGAGATAGCAGCACAGGCCACAGTTTATCTGAGCCGAGAAGAAACTCCAGACCAAAGATCTACATGCGACCATAAAGCAGACAGGAGACACCAACAAGCGAAGTTGGAATGTTAGCAGTAGCCAGGTAGCAGAAATTTATGCAGGTAAGGTTAGGCAGTCTTAGCAGATTAGGTTGTGCTAGGGTAGCAAGCTACAGAGTGAAAATATGCCCCATGTTATCTGTGCATCACATGCAGATTTTCAAATCCTTAAAAGAAACAATGCTAGACATAAACTAGGCAGTCTGTGGGAAACATTGTGTGCTAAAAACATTCTTGTAACACATAAATTTTAGCCCAGAATTTGTCTGAACATGGTGTGCCTCATTTGACTTGTGAAAGGGTGAGCCAATCATAGGTCATTTGCAAGTATGAGTCTTTAAGACACATTAAACAACCTGTTTAATTTTAAAGAATAAGAAAATGTAGCACTGTAAAATTCACTGATTAAATTCAATTGATTTAATTTAAAAAAGCTGAACAGAGTTGACTGAACATCAAACAGTAAGGTAACACAGCAATAATCTGAGCTATATTCTTGTTTAAATATATCATTACATGTGTAATTTTAATGTGTTGAATTTTGTATAGTACAGCAAATGAAAGTAATATTTCTCAACCCCCAAGGGGTAAACTAATTTGACTGGGAGAACATAAGGAAAATCCTTTAAAATTTACACTATATCACAGATAATAATTCACCTGCGAAATCAAGATGCCCACTACCACACCCAGCTGGTGCAGAGTCCCAAAGGCTCCACGCAGAGGGGTGGGTGATACTTCTCCGACATACATCGGAGTGAGACCAGTGAAGAGGCCACAGAAAAGCCCGATAACCAGCCGGCCAGCAATGACCATCTCGAAGGAAGAGCAGAGAGTGCACAGCCCCATCAGCCCTCCACCGATCAAGGCCAAGACATTCACCAGGAACATTGACTTACGTCTGTCAAGACAGAATGACAAGGTGGATTTCTCTGCTATGATGCTCAAAAATGTTAGAGATTGTCTTGTCTTCCTGTTAGCTACAATAGCTAACATATTAGCATAATTGCCAGCACTCTAATGCTAAAACAAAAATGAATAAATATGATTTTTTTTTCTTTTCTCTATAGGTCTACAAAAACAATATCGGGGAGCAGGGTCTGAGCCCGAGAGTAGTAGTAAGAGAAGGTGAGCATATCACTGCACTAATATTAGTCATGACTTGCAGCTGCAGCTCACAATCATGGGTTCACTGCAGAAACTCACACTGTGATTTTATTTTGTATGTGAGTGATATATTTTGTGAACATTGCTAAAGTTTGAATTCTCTTTTGACTGTAAGGAGTTATATGCAAACACTGCTTACATTTGAATTACAAAACAAGCACTAGTTTTTTATATATCACCAGCCACTTTAGCTAAAGCTTGGTGAACGCTCACTGACTGAAGATTAAGTTACAGTGAGCATGGGAAACGAACATTTGTTTTTACCTACCGTCCAAACTTATCTGCCACCACACCGACACTGAAGGAGCCCACCATTCCACCGACACTGAAAATGGCCACCGCTAAGCTCCACACAAAGATAGAAACTCCAGGATCAATAGGCTTCCCATAACGTTTCACCCAAGTCTCGTTGAAGAACGCTTGCAGTTTCTGAAGAAGGTCAGAGCAAGAACATTATTATGACAAACAGCTGAGACGGCGCCGAGATGATTTATTGCTTTAATGTACATGCCTATTAATCTGACTACATGTCACTACCGCAAGAGATAAAACAGTCATTCTCTTCACCTCTAACAGATGAAGAAAAATACAACAGAAAGTGATCTCACATGCACACCCACATACTCTTTTACCTGTTCAGGTGCATTGATGACCCCTGTGTTGTAGCCAAACTGCAGGGAGCCAATAACAGCTGTGCCCAGAGAGAACAGGAGGTAGCACGTTACTTGTTTCTGTGTAAAAAAGCAGAAAACGGAATTTTGAGTGACTTTGCTGTAGACAGCACTGTAAATGAGCATAAAAAAGTCATTAAACCACATTCAGCAAACAAAACATGAGTAAAAGTCCTAATTATTGAGTGGCCCCTTCATAACCAGCACAACAATAGTTTATAAAAAATGTCCTGATTTGATCTACTCTTTACTTTGGTCAACCAACAGATATCATTTTTGACTAATGCCGCCAACTACTAATAAGAAATGAGTAAAAATAATAAATGATTGTAAAGTATTATGTTGATACATTACAGTTTTATTTAACCAATTCACCAGAAACAAGCATGTTTTTTAACAGGAACTGACAGAAAATCTCAAACATTGTTGTCGTGTGTTTTTGAGCCATTACGAGTGAATAAATGTCATGTTTTTATGACTCTGATCCTGAACGCCACCTTTGGTAAAAATACATATATATATACTGGACGTCCCTCCCAAAGTATACTGACAACGACTTGAGTATATTATTTGTCCTATTTTCACAAATTCCATGGAGAACATTTTTTTTTTTTCTCAAATAATTTCAAAAAGCAATAGCACAAAGTGTCACTAATACTAAGCATTACTTCTTCTCCCTGTGATGATTTCAGTTTAGTCAAGACCATGAGCTGCTTCACCAAGATTAGCTCTATGCTAAGGACAGTGTACTACCCACATGTTAATTAAGAAACATATTAAGAATGAACACTCTACTATACATCATGACAATGACTCACATGTGCATGCTTTCTGAAGCGGTGTATCACAGTGTAAGTTGAACTGTAGTAAATGAAATGGTAGTTTCACAAATTACTGTCTACCTGCACAGACAAATCTTTAAAAATAAAGGGTTTTCTTCTTTTCACCCTGCTACACCTGCCTCACTCTTCAGTCAGCAGCCAACAGGGCTGCCTGATTCATGCACGTGGCAATCAGGTTGTGTAAAACAGGATGACGGATAAAGTATTCGCTTCCAGTATATTCCTAAAGTAACTACAGGTTAAGGTATAAATGAATAAATAAATGCAATGACAGGATTCTTTAAGTGATTAATCGACTTGCCAACTTAGAGGGGACGGCCCTTAACAAAATCACTGAGCCTTTCTGCTGAATCCAGGTTTCTAGGGCAATAGGACACAACAGTGCTGAGAGAGCAAAATGCAGTGGGCTACATGATCCTGGAGCGACTGAGGCTTTCCGATCAGACGACCTTACATTCACCTTCACCTCACATTTCAGATGTGAAGAATATGTGTGTGTGTCATGCAGTGAGTGGCTTTATTTCAAAAAAGCCTGGAGCAGACGGGTTGTACAAGACTGGCATGCAAAGGAACCACAAGCATCTGCAGTGAAGCATTACAAACGAAATACACATCGCAAAGGCCCAATAATATTATTTTAGAACGTTGGTTCTAAAAGCACTAAAATAGCATGTTATACGCTACTGTTCAAAAGTTTGGAATCACTGCTTTAAATAATATAATACCAATTGCAGACACATGAAAAAATATAATTCTAATATGATGCTAATTAGGCCTGGGTGATAGGGCGATGTAACCGGATATCCACTGACGACAAATAAACCAATGGCAATGTGTAAAAGGTGATAATCGGCATTTTGGTAAAAGAACTGAGAGAGAATTAGAGGGGATTAAGTTACCTTTAAAAGCTTGCTAAATATGGTGGGAACTGCGGTTCACATTTAAGAAGTGTGCAGGCTTGCGAACCAGTTTCACAGAGAGAGAGAGAGAGAGAGAGAGAGAGAGAGAGAGAGAGAGAGAGAGAGGTTTGTTAAGAACCTGCCTGTGTTATTTCTCTCTACTAGGCGCTGTAAACGCTCCTTAATTTACTTAACATGTACGGAATCAAAAATGAATGCGGACATGCTTTGGAACTCTAACCTGAAGATAAAGTTCCTCTGATCCTCGTCTACAGCTGGTGTGCAGTATTTTCTGCACGTATTAAGTGTCCCAGTGGTTAGTTGAAACGTCAGAAAATGCCTTTTTTTTTTAGGTGGAATTTGGGGATGATATTATCCATAATCGCGATTTGTTAACTACAAAATTCATGGTTGTACTAAGAGCAGCAAAAAAAAAACGAAAAGGTGGTAGCTTTTGTAGTGTCCCGGCTGTCCGACGCTGTGAGAGGAAAGAGGCTAAAGAGCTGAGCCAGCGAAGGAGAAATTGTTAAATAGCTCTGTAATGTTGAACTTGTGATGGAGGGGAATGTGATGGGGTGGAATATTTCAGGCTAAATATATATGCTGCCCCCAGACCTTCAATAGACATTAACAGTTAATTACATTACTTTTTGTGAATATTGCAAAAAATAGGTTTTCACTGTCTATTTTGTATGACAGCATGGGCATGTCATGCTTGACAGACCTTGTCAAAGATGGAGAAAAAAACAAATTATCAATGTGAATAAGCAAAATTGACCAGCTTTTTGAACTCCACTCATGTTTTATGGCTGAATACTTTGCTGTGATAGGGAGGAGCGCAAAATTGAATTATGAGTTAAGTGATAATTATGGAATTATTATATGTTATGTAATTATTGATTTTTACTACATGTTTTAATGTTGAATGTATATGTGAACTGTTAATGTGGAAGCAGATATACATCTGACCATGGTGAAGGTTTTATGTTAATACAAATTATGTTAATACAAATACTTTTTATACAGCTAAAAATATTTGAGATGGAACTTTATATTTATATATAATGTATATATTTTTTTTATTTATTTATATATATATATATATATATATATATATATATATATATATATATATATATATAAATTGCTATGATGAATGGAGCTGTAGGTGATTCAGTAGTAACTGAAAAAGCTGTATAGCATCAAGAATAAACTTGCAATAAAATTTACATCCAGAATACTTTGGATTTGAAAAGCAGTGACCAAATCTTGTAATTAAACAGCTGTTCAGTTTTCTTACGTCTGGAAATTACTATAATTAAATATACAATCAGATATTGCAGATTAATATTAAATTACATTTCCCATTGTTTGATGCGTCATAACTTCTTGTCATTCCCAAAATACTTTAAACTGTGAATAAATGATCAGGTGTCTAGTTTGTAACGTTTCAGTCCACAATCTGAGTTATTACTAAATAATAATTACTACATGACAAGTGATTCCAAACATTTGCCATTCCAAACAGTAGTGTAGGTAAACAAACAGGCAGGCTCCACTTCGAGACAACTGACACGCCCCTCTCCTCCCTGCCTCTCTGTATCTGTATCTCTCTCTCTGTTTCTCTTTCTGTGAAGTCACAATGACTCAGTGAATCTGAGTAAACCTGAGCTGATAGTGCACAAAAGCATTAGCCTGATTATATCATCATTAGCATGACAAACAGTTCAGAATCAAGTTTTCGGGGTTACTGCCTGAAAGACAGAACTACATACATATCAGGTTACGCAGACATACCAAAAATATATAACCTTGCACCTCAAATGGAACGTAGAGAAAAGATAAAACTGCGTTTGTGTCAGTTTGACTGTGTTGAGAAACAAACATTAATGCATAACGTGGATCCACAAAACTAAAACACTATAGCACTACAATATAATCCTGCATTCGCCGCTTTCTTCTCCCAAGATGTCTACTTTATCCTCTGTTAACCTCTTGCCTCACCCTCGTCATCATAGCAACAACCTGAAGGTGACAGCTGCACTGACACGTTAGATTAGACCCACACAAAGGCTGGTTGAGCCAAGGCGCAGTAAAACTCTCCGCTCATTATGAGGAGGTTGTATTTCATTCAGCAGCAACCAAAAACAGCACTATGTCTACAGTCCATTCTCCATATTTATACATCATCTCCTACTAATCCTGAGTGTAAAAAGGCATGAGATTTATAGCAACAGAGTGTAACTGCATTGACTCATTTGAGCTATAAATTCAATACCTCAGTGTAGCCGGGCAGGAAAAGGCCTATATAAACCGCTCTGAGCAAAACGGACATTCAATACAGTGAATGAATAGCATGCATGGTACAACAAAGCATGTACATGCAAAAATGTCACTGCTTTGTATAGAGCTATAATGTTAAAGAACATTTCTGTGGTTCTCAAATGCACTGCATGTACATTTTGCCGTGGACGTGTCAGGTAACTCCACAGATGGGGTGCCATTTAGCCCCTTTAACTCTTAAAAATAAAATTTTATTTTTGTTAGGTATTTTTTCAACATTGAATGTAAGAAAACATGCGTCTAACCACTGAAAAGATGTGATCACAAATAAAATTTTTACCAAAGGTTTCTTTGTTGAAATTGGCATAAATAAGTAAAAGTAATGTTTTTTATCATAAATTTAGTAAATACACAAAATGTAGTTATCTGGCACCCATGCTAACAGGACGCTTCTAATAATTTACTCAAATTTGACTTTTTCAAGCAAATAATTTTTCTGAATGTTTTAATTTATAAATTGGATAACAACTGCAAAAGTCTCTCGTCAGTCAACATTACAATATTACTGAAAATAAAGAAAAAGAATGAGACAATCTGTTGTTCTGCTTCCCCTGGTCTTCAGGAAAGTTGGATTTGGCATGCATGGAACAAAAAATGGGAAAAAAAAATATATTTTGCAAAATAATAACAGCTTGAGTGAGTGTTGTGTGACGTGGTGGTGTGTTAGTGTGTGTTGCGCTAGTATGAGTGGATCAGACAGCACTGCTGCTCATGTCACTGCTGGACTGAGAATAGTCCACCAACCAAAATATCCAGCCAAAAGCTTCCTGTTTGCAGCATCCTGTGACCACTGACGAAGGACTAGAGAATGATGAATACAAACTGTGCAGCAACAGATGAGCTATCGTTTCTGACTTTACATCTACAAGCTGGACCAACAAGGTAGGTGTGTCTAAGGTAGGTGTGTTTAAAAACTCCAGCAGCACCGCTGTCTGTGACTGATCCATGCGTACCAGCACAACACACACTAACAAGTCACCACCACGTCAGTGTCACTGCAGCGCTGAGAATGATCCACCACCCAGATAATACCTGCTCTGTGGTGGTTCTCTGGGGGGTCCTGACCGTTGAGGAACAATGTATGGAGAGAAATAGATGGTCTATGTCTGTAAATGCAGAACTACAGAACGCACCTATATGGTAAGTGGAGCTGAAATGGATGATGAGTGTAGAAACGAGGAGGTGGTTTTAATATTATGGCTAATTGCTGCAGTGCCTTGGTGTGATCTTTTCCACAACAGCTGCACGAGCTCTCTATGATATTAATCCGATTTTAAAATGTGAGAAAGCACAGATGTAACACTTGAGATGCTGAGAACATACTCTAGTTGTCTGAGTGTTGCAGAGCACTCACTCACCTTCTCCCCCTCCATCTTCCCCGAGTTGGTAAGTCGAAGACTGATTGATTTCGGGCGGACGTGCGGTTTAGCACACAACGTCCGTGGAGGCTCGTGTGGAAGACGCACTCAGACTGCGTGTTTCCTAGAAAAGGAGAGAGAACAGAAATGAAGGAGAGAAGGAACCGAAGGATGTCTCAAAATAATACGACATACAACAGGTCCTCGCTAGACTGCTGAATCCAGTTTTCCTCCCCAGGTCTACTCAGCCATAATTATGTGTAAAACCGAGTCGAATCTGCAAATACAGGCCAAATGTTAAACCCTAAGTAATCTTCACTCCACAGCATAATGGAGGCATCACTTCAGTGCTCCTGCAGCTCTGACACGCCTTGGTAGCCAAAACTGAAGTCATTTCCCTACACAGTAGCTGCTATTACCCTCGACAGCTGTCGAACAGAAAGCCAAGAAAGCCGTGAAAAAACTCCAAAGCTTTAATGCAGCGTCAGTAAAGAAGACCTTACCTTCAGCTGGTCGTCGTGACTGAGCTGAGCTGACCCACCGCCACACAGGGAGGAATGAAATCCAGCTCCTCGCCGCTCAGTGGTCACCAAGTGAGTACACGACCATCCGCACGTTGCCCTTTGACGAAAACACCTCCCGGCTGGCCTCGTCCAATAAAAAGGAGATTCAGCTCGACCTCTTTTTCCCCCCTCTCTCTTTATTCCCCCACTTCATTTATCCGTGACACGCATTCTGCATCACATCTCGTGACTGCAGCTCACAGCGGCGGGGGGCGTGTTCTCGTAAAGCCAACGGTGGGCGCTCCGAGGATGCTCCATCCTCCCCATGATGCCCCGCGCGTAGGCGACCTTGAAAGTGTCAGCTACGGTGATGTGGTTTTTTTTCCCCACCCGTATTCCGGTAAAGCCCCGCCTCCTGCGTTGGGATTGGCTAAAACCCATACGGAAATCTAATCTATGGCGGTATGTATTCAAGGAGCGCCTTATTATGTGCACCTACCCTGTATCTAAACTCATTGTCCATGTTATCAGCTCCACTTATCATATAAGTGTGCTTTGTAGGTCTACAATTACAGATCTGTTTCCCTGTATACCTTGTTAGGCCCTTTTTGCTCTGTTCAATGGTCAGGACCCCCACAGGACCACCATAGAACAGGTATTACCAACCAAATATATCCAGTCATCAGCATCCAGTGACCACTGAAGAACACAAACTGTGCAGCAACAGATAACCTACAGTTTTCAATCAGTGAGTTGGACCAACGAGGTTGGAGTGTCTAATAGAGTGGACAGTGAGTGGACACTGTGTTTTAAAACTCCAGCAGCACTGCTGTGTCTGGTCCACTCACAAGAGCACAACACACACTAACACACCACCCAAATAATGCCTGCTCTGTGGTGGTCCTGAGGGGGTCCTGACCAACTGAAGAACAGAGTAGAAGATTGCTAACAAAGTATGCAGAGAAACAGATGGACTACAGGATCCCACCGCTGCCACCATAATGTGACGATGCTCCGCCGAACCCCATGAGGAGACACGAAGTCACCGGGTAGATTGTGACTGAATGGGTGTTGGAATGCAGTTGCAGACTGAAGATGTGACGACTCTGGATGATTCTTGGCAATCAGTGAGATTTATTTACATGGTGGAAACACACAAAAGAAAAACTGTACAAACATAAAGTAAGTGGTGGGTAAAATGTTGACCTGACTCGATCAGTCCAGGTAAGGAGTCTTAGGCCGCAAGGCCATAGGACTATATTCCTTTTAGCTTGGCTCTTACTCCCTTCCCCTCAGTCTCTTCACAGTCTGAGGTGAGTATCCTCGAGCCCCCCACTACACTTTTCCCCTACCTCTTATAGGGTTAGCCCCACCCCTGCATCACCTGAGCTAAACCATTCCACTCTGCAGGGGTGTTGCTGTCCTATAAGAGTGGATTAAAAACAAGGGTAGATAAAATCATAATCTCACATCACAAGGCCTTAATGCATGACATTACCGGCAAGATGTTTCATACGGTGTGCACATTTACTAGACTATCTCACTCTGTCTTCTGTGACCTAGGTAGAGACATCACTCCTCTCATGAGCTAGCCGTGGGCCCTCCGGCACACTCATGAGTGAGCTCCGTCTGCTCTGCTTCCCTTTGCTGCTGGTGTTAGGAAACAGACAACAGGTGAGTATTACAGGTAGGTGTTCAGGTAAGTATTACACACACACACATATAGTCTCTGGTGATGGGCAACACGTTTGCCTCATCACACAGATAGACAGTATATATGTGATCCATATGTTATGCAAATGTGTTAACTTACCTGTCAGATATATACAACCCTGTTTCCAAAAAAGTCAGGACACTGTGCAAAATGTAAAGAAAAACAGAGTGCAATGATGTGCAAATTATTTAAACTTATATTTAATTGAAAAAAGTATAAAGACAAAATATTAAATGTTGAAAATGAGAAATTTTATCTTCTTTTGAAAAATATTTGCCTATTTTGAATTTGATGCCAACAACACGTTTCAAAAAAGTTGGGACGGGGCAACAAAAAACTAGTGAAGTTGTGTAATGCTAAAAAAAAAAATACAACTAGTGGAGCATCTTACAACTAATTAGCTTAATTGGCAACAGGTCAGTAACATGATTGAGTATAAAAAGAGCATCCCAGAGAGGCTGAGCAAAGGTTAGTATGACTGTTATATATTTGATCCCGTTTAAATATGAACTACTGAACCGAACATCAGTAGACTACAGAGAAATGTTCCTATTAACAAAAATGAATTTGTTGTGAAAGTCCTTTTAGCCAATCATAGCACAGGATCATTCTAGCCATTCCTAGCACAGAAGGCGGGGTTTTGCAGGAAAACGGGTGCAATACAAATGCTGCTGATGCAGTGCTAGCAGTGCACCAGCACAACGCAGCAAGCCGGAATCAGAAAGAAGCCCAGAGAGTGTTGCTGCTCTGGGATATTCTTTGATATAGCTGCGTAAATGTCTCTTGAATGTGACTGTTACATTACTCACATATAATAACCAATGTAATAAGGGTAGATGCATTAAAACTTTGTAATGATTTAGACTAACCTAATAGTGTTTCTCCATATTGGTCAAGTTTGGAACTTTTTGAGTCACTATGGCCTTGGTTTCACCTCTTCCTTTGAAACTTCATGTTTCACTGCAGCAGAATGTGCACTGCGGTTGTGGATTCCTGCTGCATCAGAGAAACCATGAAACCATGAGACTTGTCCAGATGAATGAATTTGCTTGAAACACTAATGGTTTATGACAAATCTAAAAAGATTTTTTTAGCCTGCTAAAGCCCAGGCTGATCCAAACCCACACACATGCACTAACATTAATGTTGTTACCAAGCGCTTGAGTTTCCTTATGCTTTCTCAGCTGTCCACTGCGTCGTCGATGCTGTAGAAGGTGCTGCTCATGGGCGCTGCCCATGACCCTCAGGGATCCACCAACCAGCTCTAGCGCAGCATGTTCAGCTTTTTCAGAGCTGGCAGCCTCCCACACAGGTAACAAAGGCCACACTACCAGGGAACTCAGACTCTTTGCCTCGGCTGAACCATCAGTCGCCACAACCAGCTTCACTTGTCCTGTCTCTAAGAATTTGTTTCTTCCCTGAGGTTGAGCACAGCCTCAGCAGCTTGGCACGTTGTCTCCTCCTTGAGCTCCTCTGCCATGTAGCACTGTGTTGTTCACCGCAGCACTTCTATGCCGAGGATAGGTTTAGCACTCTCTGCTTCGGCTGCTTGAAGGCTCTCGCCGGCTCGAGTGTTATCATGCTGTTTTCTTCCCCAGCCAGCTGCCTCGTTCTTGGCTTGCTAGACCCGTCCAGGAGGGGGCAGGCTTAGTGCTTGGTATCCCCTTCCTCTGAGCTCAGTGTTCCTTGCTGCCTGTGTTTCAGTTTGTTGATATGCTGCCCAACTTCTTCCAGCTCAGCAGTGATATCCCGCTCCTGACACCAGTGTAGTGCCAATGTAGATGAAGACACTGGAAGCATTATGCAAATGCTTTTTTATTCACTAAACAGTCACTTCAACAGCAGCAAGAGATGCCAAGCGCAGCAGTACCCCAAAACCAAGCCGGGGAGGGGTAATGTCGGAAGACACGACACTTACACACAGAGACCACACACCACAAACACAATTTAACAAACCCAGATGCAACCCCTTAACAAACACAACAACAACAGCAGCTACAACAAACATCTTTGCATGGCCATACTCTCTAAGCTCCCCACAGCAGCGCAGACCCTGGTAGACACCACAATATTAAACTTAAATCACTATTAGCCAACTAGATCAACTGTGTTCCTTTTAGTACACTTAGCAACAGTAGGCATCATAGTTGTGCCAGACTGTTTAACATAGTGAAAACCTTTTATATAAAACAGGACTACTTTATGAACAAATACTTGATTTAGCTTCCTCAGTTCTGAATTTTATCTGGCTATGCAAACTGACTGACCAGGATAAATAATGACATATAATAGAATTATAATTATGTTGAGACATAATGAACACATTTATTTAGAAATATCGGATTAATTGATTTCTGTATATTAGTAGTCCATGAGGTTACTGAGTAATAGGACTGTAGCATGTTATAAGCCTGAGATTTTAATGGGTTAAATATAAGTTTAGGTATCCTAGCCAGGAATGTGTTTCATGTCTCTTAGTGGTCATTTTAACAAAAAACTTAAAATACTTACAACTCAGTAGTCTTAATTAATTAAAATTAATGGAAAACTAAATGAATATGAAATGGTGCAAAATATAGGGGATCAGAATCCTCTAATTAACCTCTTGGACTTTTCAAAATCAAAATTCTGTGGGGTACCTGAAAATAAACTTATTATGACTTTATACTGTTTGTTAGGGAAAACTATACACACAAATACAAATTCAAGGTCATTGTTTAGCCTGCTTCTTCCATGAAACGGCTAGGGTGGCAGTGTAGCAGATTGGTTTACCCAGTTTGTTCTTTATAGCTTAGCAACTGTAACTATGCCTGGGATACCTCTGTACAACTTTACACTATGCTGCAGTATATGTGCAAATCTGAAAGCTTGCCCGATTTCCAAAGAGATTGGTTGAAAGAGTTAATCATTGCTCATTTCTTTTGTGTAAGATCCTAAATAATGTGTTGAAAAGCGCATTACCAAACTGGAAAAGAACATTTCCAAAAGAAGAACTGTTAAACCTATGGCTAGTGAGTTAGCACCCAGCTAACATGTGACCCCCTGAATACCAGGGGTTATTTTGCACACCCATTATAAATATGATGTGGTTAATTGAACCCTGGTAATTGACTGGCTGGAACATTCACACCTACAGTTCTTGTGGAGATGTGAGTTAAGGTGTATTTCAAAAGCAATATGCTGACATCTTCAGTTCGCTGTGTGGTACTGCAGCTGTTGCATTTAATTGTTGTAGATATTACACACTTAAAAAATGGCTCTTCAAGGGTTCTTTAGTAAAGAAAATGGTTCTGCATGGAAGCACACACACTCAAAGAACCCTTTGCATGATTAAAGAGTTCTTTGCATCACTAAGGTTCTTCAGATTGATGGAAAATGTGTTTAATATGGTTCTATTTCTATATTTATTTTGAAAAGGGTTCTATATAGTACCAAAAATGGTTCTTCTATTGTTACAGGCTTGACATCATAACAATAGAAAAACCCTTTGTGGTGCTATATAGAACACTTTTCAAAAAAGTTCTATATAGAACCATCTATAGCACATTCTCCATCAATCTG